ACACACACACACACACACACACACACACACACACACACACACACACACACACACACACACATCCAGTCACCTATAGGGGTCTGCAGTGTGCACTGTCTCTGATAATATCATTATCGATGTGTTTATTGACGTTATGAAGTGTATGTCACTCACTTTCACTCTGATGTAGAGCAGCAGAAGCAGAACGCAGTTAGAATGACCTCAAATCCGATATATGGGGCAATAATAACCGTACGAGTATCCGTCTCATATTCGTGTCATATGACGATTTAGTTGATGTTATTCATCAGTTTGATTAACAAGAATGTGGGTTAATATTGTTAGATCTAGTTACGTTTTAGATACAGTATGTCTGTTTTTACTCTATTTCACCAATGAAAACAGTTCCAAACCTAGCCCCAGCAGAACTGCTGAGCTCAGAGAAACACAGCGGTGATTCATTACTGCATCAATCAGTGTTATTAACAACTCGCTGGAATGGATGATTCAGTGGCTCATTCATTAAGACGGTGGCCATGTACTGGCATTTTTAGTTTCATATATAAAGTATTTCATTTTTTTAAATCCTCATGAGCGCTCAGTCCAGCTGAAGCTGTGTTTGCTGTAACGCGGCGCTGCAGAGCGATCGGTGAATGTGTGCGGTGATGTCAAACACCGATCGTCTGTAGCGCCGCTTTAAGTCTTCTGTTTGGGGTGTTCGTGAGTTCCGTCGCGAAATATACGTCATTAAAGCCGACCAATCAGGTTGTGAACGTATCACTGTGTCTTCTTTAGGTTCGCTGTCAAAAATGCCACTGTGAACGCTAAACGGACCAGGACCAAATGTATCGTTTTCTTTTTTTGTTCCGGACCAAACTAACCAAGAGAGCCGAACTACGTGAGAACGCTCCCTCATGTTCGTGTCCTCTTCTGTTTCTTTCTCAAGCGTCTGTCTGGAGTGTGTGCGTTTGGTGACGGCTTGGGTTTTATATTTATATCTGAAAGTAAATTCTATTCATCGAGTCCTTTACCAACAACGGTGCTCTGTGTCATAATCACGAGCCCAGTACTTTTGTTGCGACTGTGTGATTATGTGGACGACACACATCTGAGCCTGTGGCGTCTCTGGCTCAGTCGCAGTACTCTAGTCAAAGCAAACTTTAAACGGTTTTTGCAGCCGCGAGACCTCACGGTGTTGCTATGGTTACCACTATGGATGGGTACTGGTTCACTCTCACACTGAAGCAGCTTGAAGCGCAGCAGTATGCATGTCCCTTTGTAAGCAGTGAAAATGTCAATCACACCTGTACAATCACTGAAGCTACACACACACACGACGAATCGCTTATTTACACCATGTTATAATGAGAGGAAGTGTGAAACTTCCTTCAGCAGATTTCTTCTGTGCAGCGACTCGTTTAAACGCCTCTGATTGGCTGCTGTGCTCAGAGCTGCAGAAACACACTGAGTAGTCTAGAATGTAACCGGAGCAAATAATGCTGCAATCTACCCTTTTCACGACTGCAGGTTAATCGTGGCACGTGTAAAAGTAATGGTGATGCTGTTTGCAGGGGTTAAAGCAAATAAAATCCTGAGCCTGAACTTCTTCCCGGGGGCGGCGCGGCAGCACACGCAAAGCATGCAATGACTGGCAACTTTAACATTTGAAAGGATGCTATGGCAAAGTTATCGCTTTCTTTATTCAAACTGATTTTTTTTTTCATGAATATATGGTTGACCTGAAGAATGAAAGCTCTATCATACACTTGGAAAAGTATGAGCTTTATCACCGCTTATCGACTCTAGGGGTGTGACAACACACTTAGCTCACGAGATGAGACAAAAGACAGAAAATTTGTTTACTAAAACCAGACAATCGTGGCACGTGTAAAAGTAATGGTGATGCTGTTTGCAGGGGTTAAAGCAAATAAAATCCTGAGCCTGAACTTCTTCCCGGGGGCGGCGCGGCAGCACACGCAAAGCATGCAATGACTGGCAACTTTAACATTTGAAAGGATGCTATGGCAAAGTTATCGCTTTCTTTATTCAAACTGATTTTTTTTTTCATGAATATATGGTTGACCTGAAGAATGAAAGCTCTATCATACACTTGGAAAAGTATGAGCTTTATCACCGCTTATCGACTCTAGGGGTGTGACAACACACTTAGCTCACGAGATGAGATAAATGACAAAATATTTGTCTTTTAATTACAAAAAGTAAAACAATGCAGTTGTATTTAGAAATATTTTAACTAATTTAGGGCTGTAACTAATGATTATTTTGGTAATCAAGTAATCTACTGATTATTTTGACAAGTGAGTAATCTGATATTTTTTAGTAACACAAACAGACCTAAGTGAAAACCAGGCTTTAGTATGACTATTTATATATAAACTAACGATGAGGCAATAATAATTGGCTCAAATAAAACATCAAAACCAAGAAATTACATGATTGTATTGAACAACACTGTTAAAATACATAATATAATATGCCTATACTTAATATGAACATAACCTTAACTTAAAGCAACACTATGTAACTTTTTCTTTGTTCAAAATTTGCAAAATGTATATAATAATGAGCGAGTAGATCATGAACTCATCTTCCAAACCGCGTTTTTGTCTTATTCCGAATCACTCCGGTACACTTATAATAAGTGCTTATATTCGGACTATTGTAGGCTGGTCACCGCTGCGGAGTAACACACACCTGCGTGAATCGCCAGAGACATACACTTAGAGAAGTAGCTCCGGTCGGAATGTTCTTCCGCGGGATGTGTGCAGTTCTGTTTATTAACCCCTAGAGCGCCAAACGTTACATAGTGCTGCTTTAATTACTTTATGTATTAAAACAAACACCTGCAGATGGCGCCAACGGCCTGGTGACGTTTCACTTTACAGCATGATTAAACCATGTTTAAATCCATTTAATTTTAATATTTGACCACATGCAGAAACTTTAATTTTGAAATCGCGACGTACAATACATGGCATATTTAGAAATAGGTTGATGTATTCTCCTGTGTTGGCAAAGGTTTATAAATGATTTACAAATCTAGTGAGATAATGCACAGTGTTTTTCCAGATGAACGTTAAGCAACTCAAACTCACAGCATATGCTGAGGAAGAGTTTAGCCCCTTTCACACATACAGTCTTTACTGGCAAATTACGGTTAAGTTACCATTAATAGATCATGTGTGAACAGGACATTTTCAAAAACCCCGGTAAATTTGTTCTGGCAATCATATCGTTCTTATGGAGATGACATGATTACTCTGAGCTGTTTACAAAGCTCCGCTGCTTTTTAATTAGTTTTTCTATGTAAATATGCGCTAGATGGATATCTTTGACCATTGCGCCTCGCAGCTTTGTTCTCCATTCATCAGGGCTGCGACTCTGCAGTTGGATACTATTAGCTAGTAATGTTAAGTTTGGTTGAGAGTGAAAGCTGTGCTCCTCTCATATCATTGGTAGGCGAACTCATGGACTCGAAAGTGATATCAATCAACAAGATTTTTTTTAAATGTAGGACTATTTTTTTCCACAGCCAAACTCTGCACGCCAGGGATCTGGCACGGTGCCGGAGAATTTTAAGCCCTGTGTTTGTCATGCCGTCTGCTGGAGTGTGCCACGATCACAGTGAGCAGCACACAGCACATCAGTGCTGTCATTCAAACGGCTGTGTTCACTAACACTGAATGAAGCCACTGTAGCAGCACCTGCACAGACTCAGCACTGCTCATCAGACGTCTGTGTGTGTGTGTGTGTGAGAGAGAGAGAGAGAGAGTGTGTGTGTGTGAGAGAGAGAGAGAGAGAGAGAGAGAGAGAGAGAGAGAGAGAGAGAGAGAGAGAGAGAGAGAGAGAGAGAGAGAGAGAGAGAGAGAGAGAGAGAGAGAGAGAGAGAGAGAGAGAGAGAGAGAGAGAGAGAGAGAGAGAGAGAGAGAGAGAGAGAGAGAGAGAGAGAGAGAGAGAGAGAGAGAGAGAGAGAGAGAGAGAGAGAGAGAGAGAGAGAGAGAGAGAGAGAGAGAGAGAGAGAGAGAGAGAGAGAGAGAGAGAGAGAGAGAGAGAGAGAGAGAGAGAGAGAGAGAGAGAGAGAGAGAGAGAGAGAGAGAGAGAGAGAGAGAGAGAGAGAGAGAGAGAGAGAGAGAGAGAGAGAGAGAGAGAGAGAGAGAGAGAGAGAGAGAGAGAGAGAGAGAGAGAGAGAGAGAGAGAGAGAGAGAGAGAGAGAGAGAGAGAGAGAGAGAGAGAGTGTGTGTGTGTGTGCGTGAGAGTGTGTGTGAGAGAGAGAGTGTGTGTGTGTGAGAGTGAGTGAGTGTGAGAGTGTGTGTGTGTGAGAGTGTGAGAGAGTGAGTGAGTGTGAGAGAGTGCGAGAGTGTGAGAGAGTGAGTGAGTGTGAGAGAGTG